CAACGCTGCAGCGCCTTTTTGAAGGAACAAATATCTGTGACCTCTATTGAGTTGACTAGTTAAAAGTGAGCCTGGCGGCTACGTGCTCGATCTGCCCATATTAGAACTTTTGTATCCACCAATGTAGGACTGTATACGTATATAGGCTTTCTTGTTTTTCTTAATCTTTCTTTGTGAGAATCGAGTGGAAGGGCTAGCCGTCACCAAGCAACGGTGCTGACTCCTTTGTTTACTTTCCATTTCAATAAAAACACATCTAAAGAGATTCCACAGCTTCTCCTTAAGAACGGCAACCAAATGGAGAGTCAGAAACGCGTCATGCAAGAAAATGCAGTGACTGAAATATGAGCCACCTCATGCCAGAAGTTTTAAACTGTTAGTACTTAGAAAAAACTTTAATGAAGAATAACACAGAGTGTTAAGCCGGTTCACACCTCATCCTGACTGTCACCTAAAGGACGCTTGAAATCTTTTTTTTCTATGGTAGCGCCATCGAGAGCCGTCCACAAGATGTCCTACCCGTGTCTTCAATCTAAAAAAGGGTTTGGTTGGAGAAACATTCCGTGAAGTCAGTTGTGCCTGTAGAGTCCACAAAAAACTGTGGGGTTTCTGCATTTTCTTCATCTTCTGCTGCATCTGTTCAAAAGAAGCTCTCAAGAAGATAAGTTCCGCAGCGCAAAAAGGTCTTTTACAGCTCCTTGTATTGTCAAATCAAATACTTTCTCTATTGCCACAAGACCTGGCGCGTCTCAGACCATGTCTGTGTTACAACCTTGTGGTTAAGTTTACGAGCCATGTCCTACCTTCTGAAGCTTCTCTGGTTTTCTGCATCCAGGATTCCTCGAACGTTTTGCCCGATTTCCTTGATGAAGAGCTCAGCGCGGAATATCTAGACATAGATAACATTGTTTTTAGACTGGTGGTCAGTGCTCAATGTGTTACCGCAGGATAAATGACACGCACACTGTGACACTTCTTGAGCTTGCTGTCATTGAAGCCACCCAGTAATTGGGTCCGCATTCACTTGACAAGTGTCTTCGTCGACCTAATTTGCAGTTGAGCTTGACGCAGCCATCATTTCCTCTGGGGCCTCGCCGTGGTAGTCTAGTGACTAAGGTACTCTGCTGCTGACCTGCAGGTCGCAGGTTCGAATCCCGGCTGCGGCGGCTGCATTTCCGATGGAGGCGGAAATGTTGTAGGCCCATGAGCTCATATTTGGGTGCACCTTAAAGAAGACCAGGTGGTCGAAATTTCCAGAGTCCTCCACTACGGCGTCTTTATAATCATATGGTGGTTTTGAGAAGTTAAATCTCACATATAAATCAATCAATCTTTTCCTCTGGGGCCTTTTGACATTCTTGGAAAGCACCAGTTATCACTTGTCAGCTGCTCCTTATGGATAGCCAGAGAGATAACGGCCTTCAAAGTGCGCGTGCCATGGTGATCAATACGGCAAAATAAAGATTTTAACATTGCGGTAGATGTGGCGTGCAGTACTGACGCCGCGGGACTGCCACTGTGCCTTCTGTCTTTGCGATTGCCCACAGCAAAGTTTTCACGCGGGAATGCATGCTGTTTTCAGTTTTCGAGCTGCACTACCATGAACAATAAAAGGCCGTTCAGCTCAGCGCCCGACGCGGCGAACGCCTCTGCTGGTGTGCCCGTCGAGCAGGCTCGAGGAACATGTCAAGGTGTGGTCTCGATGTTCTCCAGTGAAACAGGGACCGATGTTATGTGGTAGAGCCTGCTGCAAGATGTCGACGAAGATCGCTAGATATGTACGAGCAGGTACCTTCAGTGTTCCACGGCCATGAATATTCATTTTTGTGGCTTCATACAAGCTTCGCAAACTACGGATGTCATTGGCTGATTTCACGTCATAAAGTGCCGTTCAATGGCACAGAATAATCATTGTTCTATCGCTGAATCAGTCCTTCAACATTACAATGGTGTGGGTAAACCTACTTTGTCGAATTCGGAATGGCGTGAGCAAACCCAGAGTTACTGCTAGTGCGTCACCAAGTAGAAAAGTTCTGATAATAAAATTTTGTGGATGTAGTCAGATCGTTGTTCAGAGTGTTCTATTTATCTGCAGGAGCCTGTCTGATCTTGCGGGAGCATCGTTTTCGAAATTTATTGATTTTGCACTTTCGCTACTGGACGCATGAGGATGGTCTTTCTGAGATTGTTCCAATCGTGATGTTCCAATCGTGTGATTCTACAACTTATCTCGGTAAGCATGCTGACCACATCTTTCTGATATCCCGTTACTTCGGTACACTTTTCGACGACGAAAAGTATGCAGCAATAACAAGATATGTATATGTAGATCCTAAACTTGTGGCGGACACCCACCATGCGTGATTGGCGGGTAGTTTGCCAAAAAGGAATATTTATATTTAAATACTAGACAAACAAGTATTTACAGAAATATTGTTTGTTTTTGTAAATTAGTCGTGACAAACATTTCGATGAATTAGTTCCCACTGAAGGAGCAATGAATGAATAATATCAAGGAAAAGTTTTCAATAGTGTTCATTGGTTTAATGAGGACCTTTCGAAATTGAGGTTATTGGGTAAATCTTTTCAACTGTATAATGAAACTGTGCGCAGCTTCGCGCACTTTCTCGTTGCTGTGCCCTAGAGTATGTGCAACTAGGGATAGTAAATTTGACGTTGTGAAAGATAATCCAAGGATTCGTAACAGAAGTCGTAGTGACACTTTTCGTGATGATGAAAACTTTCTACAAGAAATCCAAAAGTGTTCCACAGTTTCCTATTTTCTACAAAAAGAACAGAGCGGGGAGGCAGTCAAGCCTGCTCTAAAGAAATAAAAATTTATTGGGGAATACGACAGCGTATTCCAGGGGTCGGTTATGACATGAGGACGTTTGCCAGGGTGTCGTTAGATGGGTGAAATCCGGAGAAATTTGAAAGATTGTGTTGAGAATTCGCGCTTCATCATTTGTCTAAGAAATCCAGGCGCTATATAAAGGCTGTTGCAGGGGTAATATTGATGGCTGGTGCATCAAACGCCCCGTTCGCTAGTGCGTCAGCTGTTTCATTTATAGTTATGCCTCTATGCCCGGCACCTACACTAATCACACCTGAGTTAAGTGATTCGGTACTAAGGAGATGAAATCACGTAATAATGTTTACTTGCGGCGCCTTGGCGCCTTGGAAGCACCGGAGACGTTGTAGAAAGGGAAAGATTTACTTAGCCCTAAAGAAACAGAAGCCACACAGGCCATTGCTTCACGAGCGTCTCAGTTAACATTTCAGAAGTGTGAATTGCCGCATGCCGTCAAACTGCAGATCGACAAAGAGTCTGTTATTATTACGGTGGAATTTATTTATGTTGGCAGTTTTCGAAGGGCCACCTGCAGCTAAATATTCTGCAAAGAAGATAGGCGTGAAATCTGGAATTCGGAGCGAAAAGAAGCTGTCTAACACAGGGTAGATTATATCAATGTCACTGATCCGTCGTTCTGGGAAGCGTCCGTCACAATGATGATCTCTGCTTGCATTCCTAGCAGGTAGTCCTGTAAGGTATCTATTCATATATTATTCAGTATTTAGCACGATTAGAGAAAATGTCATCAAAGTATAGTTGGATAGAACTTGTCGAGCTGCAAACTCGAAGAACCCCCCTGTATTGTACAAACTTGACTTGAGGTGTGTGAAATCTATGCCAATGACGATAAAAAATAAACCAGGTCGCACAATAAAACTGTTTCTTTACACGTTGAAGGAGATTAAAATGCCCCAAATACGTTTGCACAGCCAATAATCTGAATCTGTGAGGAGTGAGGGAATGCTAGTTTATATATATAAAACGTTATTCGTTACAAATTTAGGTAGCCCTAAGCACATTCGCAGTGCCTGCTTCTCCAGAAGAACAAGAGGACGCAGCCTATAAGCAGGTGCCCCGCAGTATTAGGCACATCCAAATTCTAGAACCGGCCTTAAATACATACAGTATATTTATAATAACGTGGTTTTGGGCATTCCTGATCTTCTGTGGCTTATCAATTGTAAGAAGCCGACTGCCCGAACACCCTTTGCCTTAATATATTCGATTTGGTTTTGCCATACCAGAGAGCTGTTGTATATAATTCCTAGATATCTAAAGGTTCGAACTTGTGAAATGGCATCAGTTGTGTATGAGAGATATGTGTACTGGATATTTTATAGGAAATACTAATGATGCACACTAGTTCACGTCTAGAGAAAGGTGAATAACGTCGAGCCAGTGTTCTATTTCAGATAAGTATATTTGGAGTTTTTGATAGAGGGCGTAAATGTCATGAGCTGATTAAAAGAACGTGATATCATCAGCATTGATGATACCCTTTATACGTCATACCCAGCATACCCTTTAGCATACCCTTTATACGTCTGCTACCCTTCAGCATACCCGATCTGCTACCCGATCAGCATACCCTTTATACGTCTGAACATTCTTATTACACGGGATCGAGCTTATTAAAATATTGAAAAGTACTGGACGCAGAACAGCACCCTGGGAAACTCCTTTTCTCTGTTTACAAGTACTTGAAGAAATGCAATCTTGTGAACAGTAAAACTTTCTATTTCGTTAAATTCCGTAGTCCACGCTTCTAAATAATCTGGCAAATTGATATATTAGACAGCTGACTAGTAAACTATGTTCGCCACTATCATACGCTTTTGTGAAGTCTAGGGTGTTCTGCCCTTGACGTCGCGCAAGGTGTCTGCGACTCTCTAGGCCTATATGAGCTAGCCATATAGAACGTCTCTGTCTGAATCCAATTTGACATGGGCGAAGAATCTTTTTTTTGTCCACAAATTTCATCATGCGAGCGTGCACTACTCTTCATAGCATTTTTACAAATTAGACCCTGTGTCTCTGTGTGCTTGCGCAAAAATTCCAAGATAGATATGTTCCCACTTGGCCAAAATCACAGTTTTGAATCATTTCACGTAACTCTACCGTTGTCCTTATAAGGCATTATTCTCACCTTCAGCAACTTGACATACTTGAAGGCATAAAGGATGTTTGGTAACTTCAAATTCAAGTCCACCCCGCTTAGGTTTGCCGCTCTCAAGATCAATGCAACAGACCTAATGAATCTGAAAACAAGCAAGAAACTTCATTCTACTTGTTGAGTAAGAGCTTTTGCCATGAAAATGTTCAACGATTAGCTTTACGGGATCTTCATTGTGTGTGCACATAGGAATGAGGCTATGTAGCATTTGTAATCTACTTGATTCTGCAGTAATTCCTAAGAGTTTCATGATTTGTTCTTTACGATTACTAGAACTAAATTGATGCAAGTTCTGTGTGCGGCGAACGCGTTTCCTGTCATCTAACTACGCGGTAGCACACTAGTGACTCTCGCTCAGATATTGACTACGGCTGCGCACAACGAAGTATGCGTACAGATAAAAAGAATAATGACAGCAGACTCTTTCTTAAAAATGGCTACACTGTGTTTTTTTTATTCACCACAATATTAAGTTCTAATGTGTGAATAAGTGGCCATGTCACTTGATTCCTCGGTTCAAATGCTTGCGCTGTCTAGCATTTTCAGTGCCTTACGTATAATTCACAAAACAACTCACTACGCAACTACGAAAACTACTGTTCCTAATCAACATGGTTCGTAGAATATTATTTCAATTCAGTTTGAGTGATGCTAATAATAACGTTCGCCATGAAGGCGTGGTAGTGACCCACCAAAACCTGCGTGCACATAGCTACTGCAAGGGCAGGTAAAAATATGCGCCAACTTTCAACATAAGCTTTTGTGAAAAGTTGCAAGATTTCGACGCTATACGTAAATATTATCAAGTTACACTAAGAAATGCGATAAGACTTAAGCAAAACTGATGACATAACTAAAAAGCACACCAACATTGTCTAAAATAATGAGTCAAGGCATGTATGGTGGAAAGCACGTGTGTGAACCCAGACACTTCCAAATTTTCATTTATGGAAACAAAAAAGGCTTGTTCATGAAAGAAGTGCTTCCTCTTTCCAATAACGTGGCGTCTGCAATGATGACAGCATGGTAATGCGTTTGTGCCCTGCAACTGCGCATTGAGATTTCCAATGACGGCCACACGTGTTGTCAATGTATTGAAAAAAAAAAACGTTTTTCCTTAGGCATTATTTTCTGCACTCCCGAAGATCATTGTTCACGCTCCTGCTCATCAAAACCACAAACAAAAAAACAAGGCAGTGGGATACTGAACACGACCACTCACACAGATTTATGGATCCTTAGGGGGTTGGAATACACGTTAATAATTTCTTTTCTGAAAATGACTGCTGCTTTTTTAAGGCATAAAGTTGTGCTGGAAATAACACACTCGAACATCATAACACCTTCCAATCTTGCTAGCCCACCAGAAAATTTGCATTTAAGCAAAAAACTTGGTGGCGTATCCAAACAGTGAATGTTGATGATGTAGTGTGGTTAGTTAATGAGGTGCATAATGTTTATGTTACAGACGTACAGATGAACCGATAGACGGATGGACAGATGTACAGGCAAATGGACAGACGGACGCATGAGCGGACAGACAGATACAAGGACAGATAAACTAATTAGTGTACGAACAGAATATGCTCTATTTTAAACCTATATGCGCGCTATGGACGCTTGGTGTACGGTGCATGTAATACCTGCAGTTTGCGTCCGATAGGAAGCTACGAATACGCCGTGAACAGCCATAGTCAAGTTTGGGATAATGGAGGTATTGCCGATGGTTCAGTTGACCACGACGACACATTGAAGGACTGCAGGCCCGGTTTCTCTATTCCCGGCAAACTTCAGTTTATTTAAACACTAACGCTTATTTGTAATCAGAGGCCATTGTGGCCACTAAAACGGCCGCACAGTAAGCATTCGGCTGTATTAACATCGACGTTACTTGCCGAGACCTTCATGTACTGCACACATCCAAGCAACTTCACAATGCCGAAGCATACCCTCGATCAGAGTTGGCGCCAAGTGCGACATCTGTGCACGCTTCCCGATCTCGTACTCGAGCACTCAGCTCTGCCCCTCTCTATTTCTTTCATTAAATACCTCCCGCCTCATCTGAGACCACCTCGTAAGACAAACCCCATTTTGATGCTCTCCCGATGCAGCAAACAACTCTCATTCACTTAGAAACATGTCCCAGCCTCTGCGTTTTCACACTTTGCTGTCCTCATCCTCCAAGAAATCAGCTAAACAAGAACTTCGTCATTTTGTCCACGTAGAGCTTAAAAATACTTTCGCGCAACAACAGGCCTAGCCAGACAGCCGGTTGGCTGTCGGCAATTAGTACACACAATACTGCCGTATGTACACACTTATTGTGACAGCACAGCACCACATTATCCTGTCAGTAGCGGTGTCGCGACAGAGATTACTTGTTTGTCAGACTGACTCACGGTGAGAACGCTTCCGCTATACATGTGACTCACCAGCGCCAGGGGCGGTGAAGAAAAGGTCATGGGGTTGGCGCGTGCAGAGGTGATTGGCTTAATACCACGTAGGGGCAGCCACTTTTCATTATCATCCCTTTTCATCACGTGACCTCTACCGACTGGCCATTCTTCGGTTGCCCCAAAGATAACGAAGATAATGAGAGCCTGGAGCCTTGTTTTTTAATAAGAGCGAGTTGTTCGTGCTACTGCGTTCTACAGGTTGCTATATTCTGCCACAACGCTAATATCACCGACCTTTGCAAAGCTAAACGCACTGGAAATGGTTGTGCCATCGCTTTGTGTACACGGAAAATCTATGAGAGTTGCTATGTTGCATTTACTAAGCTTTGCTACTACATTATTTACTTTGGGCTAGTAGTAATGTAATATTGCCCTGCTAGTTACTCTTATCACAAAACCTCTCTGGGGGTAAGAAAATGTGAAATATTTTCTTTATTGTCATGCAGTTCAGTGCCACTAATGCGCATTTTCCACTTGTTTTTCTCCCTTTCTGACCTTTAAACTTGTTGTGTGAAGGCTGTCTCTACTGTGCACGAAGAATAGTTACATCTCTTTTTCATGTTATGCATCGTGTCATGAAGCCATAACCGCCTGATGTACACAAATACTGTTGAAAAAGCCATAAAAACACTCAATCTTGCCGTCATGTTTAATACTTTGCCCCTCCGAATCAGAGGATCGAAAGCAGTGGGCATATTTGTACGAAATCAGCGAAAGGTGTGTGCATATGTGACTATACGTTCAAATAATGAAGAGCTTTCTACCGTACCTTTGTCTGCTGGAAACACTCCACAGCATTTCTTTGATGTTGACAGCATCACACTTTATTGAAATCATTAACTTCAGTGTGGGCTTGCGCTCCCGGAGAGCTACGAATGATTTGAGAGCCTCGTGGCCACCTATGGGATGGAGGTCCATAGTGGAGTTTCTTCTCACTGTAGCGAATCCCATGATAACGTGAGTGCAGAGATCCGTATCCACCTTGTCTATGGGCAATGTATCTCGTGGTATTGCTGATCTATCCAAATAGCACACGTGACTGAACGTACCTATGTAGAGAAAGAGAAACCGTAAGCTACACGAGCCTTTGCTACCTCAATATCGTTAGTCGTAGACACAAACACGAAAATACTTGCGTTCAAACGACCATTGACCTTGAATGGGCCATGATGGAGACATTTATGCTACATCTGATACAGTGCAAATTAGATCTAAAATATTAAATGGGTTGATGTAGCAGTGGTATCAAAAGTCTGGGATATATCGGGTATATGCTATTTTTTGTGCCTAATTTAGAATTTTTTTGTTGCCCAGATAAGGGAAAGCCGAGTGTGGGCTGTGCTTCTTAGAACGTAGTTTTAGTAGCTTTTAAATGGATTTTAGTGATGTCGTAAATGAGCTTCAGTGGTGACATAACATCAGATACCAGGTAAAACAGAAGGGCTATAATTCTTTTTATTAAGGGATGTATCGTCCAAACTGACTGCATGACAGAAGTCACCTTCCGGCAGGATTTTACCAATATTGCCGAAAACCCTGCTATGGGACGGACTTTTAAATACTCCTACAAGCATCGTCTTATTTAGAGATTGTGTTTCTAGCGAATATATCTTCTTAGCCGTCCGCAATGCGGATAGTAAAAGAAGTCTTCAGTAAGAGCACAACTATAAGTTGATATACCACCATTAAATAGATCTTTAAAGACCCGTTTTTTTGCACGAATTAGCATATTGGCGCTCTTTTGTCATGCATGCACGGACATGCATGAACCACCGTGAACTGAAATTTCAATTGGAGCCATCATTATGTCAGAACTGCGATGAAAAATGCAACGCTGTAAATGATAATCGCGTTTGGTGCAAACATTGCTTCAGTAACCTCGAGGGCTTCCAAAACTTAACGTGTTATACTTGGAGCGATAGCCACCCGACTTCATTTCTCAAGAGCTCTACAGCATTCATCTTCTATCCATCCGCACTCTGCTTCCGCTTTTGCAATGTCAGTAATCTCATCAATTCAGCATGTGCGGTCGCGCTCATCAGTCCTATCCAGTTGCGCGTTGCGTTGAGTTTGTGTCGGGATTCATAATACTATACAGAAGAAGCTGTGAAGAAGTTCACTGCATTTAAAACATATAGACTCTATCAAATGCAAGTGAGTTTTGGTAGAGTGACTGTTATACCAACGTTCGGTATAGTGCCGTTAGATTGCCGTTGGTGTTGTGACTGGCGCCGGAGCTGACGAGGGAGCGGCGCTCTTTGGATCTTCAAACAAGTAGCCGAAAGGCCGGCTGCTTATGACCGCCAGGCATTGTCCGTCCTAGCCGGAGGGTGAGACGTCGCGTCGCCGCGACGCCGTAAGCCGTTCGAGACAGGAAAACGAGTGCAGCATCTTACTTGGAAGAGACCACGGCGGCCACCGCGAATCTCCCCTCTAATTAACAGAGCAGTTTGGCGGACCCTTCGAAGTATGCTGTCATGAGTTTGGGACCCCTCGACCAGCGGCACACACACGACAAGGAAGAGCCCCGCTGGCGCCGCCTTGGACTACAGAGTCACGCCTCAATATCGGACGTTCACATGGGTGGTACATGCTCGTCCCCCTCGCCAGTTGTGTGTGATCTGTCCTTGGACAGTACCATCTGAACATGTTCGCTGATATATGGATCTGGGGAGCACATACCCTTTATAATGAGCCACCCGGCCCATTCGAAGGAGCGCCATGTAGAGGAATGCCAGATTCGAAAGCTCGCCATGTAAGAAAGAGCTCGTCATGTACGAGAGCTCACCTTGTATATAATGTAAATAAACCTTCTTCAAGTCTCCCTTCCTCCTCCCTCAACAACTTCATCCCGGACCTCCGGTGCCTGCTAACCGCGGTCGCAACAACGAAGAGTTATATTCCCAATGGAGAGATGTACACCTCGTCTTGTGAGTGGAGTGCTCTCGGAACGTGTTTTCTTCAATTCTGAAGGGACATACAGATTACTGAGATGTGCAATTACTTTTGTTTTGATTTACGGATTTGGTATAAAGGGCAGGCTACTGTCATATCTGAAAATAAGTAACTTTGATTGCCTTTTACTATCTATTCCAGTCACCAAGAATAATAGTATAACAGCCAAATAAATGTGTTGCTTTGTGTCACGAACTACTTGTGCCACATGTCTCAGCACTGTGAAACTGCTTCATTATTACTGAATAAATTATTTAGCTGTTGTAACGTAAACGTAGACCATAGTTTTTGTTCGTGTTAGAACGCACATGAACAAAGCTATTTTTATTATAGTCGACCTGCATTCACTAATATGACCGCATGGGACACTCATTGACCGCTCGATAGATATACTTTAGATATGTATATTAGCTGTACTGTTCATGCCGTAGAAGAAGTTTGAAAATACACACTTATGTCACGTGAGTTTGGGGTCCGTGCAACAAATTTGTGGATAAGAGAACCTTGAGACCACGTCCCTCGCACAGACAGGTAGGCTTATGAGGAGGGTCGAGATTGGCTTTTCTGTTGCGAATATTTCAGGGCATGATGATAAAAGACGCTTTTTAAGAGAAGGTGTTTGGTGGTTTTTCTCGGGGTTCAGATGACGCTTCGCCTTGGCCGTCTCGACACATGCGTTGAATCATGAGGCATATGTTTTGCCTTCTCTATCGATATGCTCCTTTCCTCTCGAAACCGGGCTACTCATGCAGAATTGAAAGATTTTCAAACACGTCGCTCAGGCCTGGTAACCCTATAGTTCGCTCAGCACTATGTCGTATTATAGTGAAATCGGGTTTCGCCTTTTTACGCGGTCATCTATAAGGTAATGATAAATATAACAATCTTCTTCTTACTCCTATTTTTCGCAGTTTGTAGTTACTCTAGATATTTTAAAGAACTGCTACACAAACGAAATTATGACATTTTCATTTATGAGATCATTTGCTGTTTTGGTGTGAATAGAGATAGACGTCCCCACGATTCCGGCCCACGAGCAGGAGGCGTGCTTTCCCGCACGGTGGGGGCGGGGCCCCACGTCACTCTATGCGACCGGAGAGCAAAACGATGATAACTCCTCTCCCTTTCTGATTTTTTCATTGCTTTCACGGTTTCAAGTAGCAAATGTATGAACCTTTCTTCGGCTGGAGTTACAGTATCGTAGTTGCAATAGTGCGAGTTCCCTAGCTTATTAAAAGATAATGCACAGTGCCTATGGGCACTCTTGGAAATATTGGCTGCTTTTACCGCGTTTGAATCGCTGCCCCGGAGACGGGCTTAAAGATATACAATTGCTTTCTGGGATTTAGGTACTGGCATATGTCTAGTTTATGATGGTATAGAGCGTGCTTGAATCGCGTGGTAAAAAAATTTTCCCTAGCCAGTTTTGTTCAGGGTGCGACAGCCGTCAAGCCCACGTAGCTCCATCTAGCGTTGAGATGGTGTACCCTCCAGTGCCACGTAAAAATAAAATAGGGTGCGCGTAAAAAGAGAGATTTTTATGGAAGGCACATTCATGACCTCGTGAACCTATATTTAGGGTTCGTTGAGGTAAAGATCGATACTATAGCACATCAATGGGGTATTTAAAAAAACAAAGTGCGTGTTTCCGAACATTCATTGTATGCACCACATAGACCCCTGAATTAGCAGCACATTCTCAAGTTTTACAGCTTTACAAGGTAATTACAGTTATCTACTGATTGGTTAATTAGTGTTAATTAACTAACGCATCACTAGTCAGGCTTTGAAATTGCGAGTAATATTCACCAGGCGCGATATTATGGACGCTGGTATGAACTCGCCATCCGCGTCCCTTAAATCCAGCATATCTCAGGGATCCGTCCTCGGGTCTCTTTTCTTTCCGGTTTATATCAATAATTCCACCCGTGATACCCAGCAAATCTAAAGCTTTTTGCAGGTGCCTGCGTGCTTTAATGTAGTGAACGCTTCCAGCGACCAGGTTCTTTTAAATAATTCTTCATCTAAGATTCAACATTGGTGCACAAAATGACAGATGACCGTTAACGCGAGAAAAACTTTGGCGATAACCATAACCCACAAAAAAGGTACATTAAAATATCAATACAAACTCGGCAATCAATTCTTGTTCTTTGTCTCACATTATACGCACCTTGGTTTCGTCATCACATCTCATTTAAGAATGAACGAACATGAGTCTTATACTGAGAAAAGGCTTTGAAAATACTGGTCTACCTAAGATGGGCACTCGCTAAGGCATGCAGTGAACCTAAAGGACCTCATGTGAAACGTACGTAATACCAATACTAGAAAATTTATCGGCTGTCTGGGACGCGCACACGCAAGCTAACACAGATAATATTAAATTAATACAGCGAAAAGCTCTAAAATTCATTTTCAATGCCCAAAAGTAAGACATATCCGTCAGTTTTTCTGGAAAGCGCTAAACTTGAGACCCTGGAGTGGAGACGTTATCATGAAATAAGGAAGCTGTTCTATCTCATATGTTATAACAAGCTGGCAAAAGAATAAAACTAATTATATCGCACCAATCTTGCGCCACGAAACGCGTGCCTCCAATCTTGAAAGAGTGACTGAGCCCCTATATACAAGTACAATTTTTTTTCCCGAACAAGCGGAAACTGGAACAATTTGCCACCAGATGTTCTTGAAACTGTCGATCTCAACTAGTTTTTTCGTGCGTTAGCTCTTTCACATGGCTCATAACTACACCTTCATATATATTACAGTGCTGTTCATTTTAATACCTGTCTTGATCAGACTGATTGCTTGAGATTCAAAGCCTCGCTTCTGCACGATTATTCAATGCTTCGATTCTGCAAAGTCTCGCTTTTTAACATTGTCGGCTTTCTTTTTGCTACAGTTGGTATTTGAGTTTTTTTAGGGCACAACTCCTTATAACGGCACCCGTTCGTCCCCAGTAGTATGTAACAAGTATAACATTTTGACCTCCAAGGTGGTGCCGGGGAGAGACTTCTTCTGTGCGTTGTTGAACAATAAAAAATAGCGCTCAATGTACATGACAATG